GAAACTCCCCCTCCATTGTTGCTAAGGTTGGATGTTTGGCATGCTTTTAAAGGCTTCGGTTGTTTTGTCATGTTTTCCTAAATTCTGTAGAACAGTTTTTACTCTCAACGAAAAAACAACGAGGTTGGTTTGACAAACTTTATAAACTCGGGAGGGGTGATTTCGGAACGCGGGTGACTTTCGTTTGGCGAACATGAGCACTGGAAGTCGCGAGATGAAGTGAGGTGGTCATGGTGTTACACTCTGAGAAAAAATGACGGTAAATCCTGGATAATTTTTTTGCCAAACTTTACCGTACTTCATAAACCAGCATCCTCCGTACAGTCTACAGTATTTACCGTACTTGTTTTACAAAATATTCCGTAGTCTTTTAACAGTAGTTACCGTTCTTCCGTACAGTCCATGCCGTAGGAAAGACTAGATCTGGCCCCAACAAAGGGCGCTTCCAAGAAGTGTCCACAACAGGATCTTGAAAAAAGGGGGTCGACCGACTGAAAAATTTTATTGCACCTTTCAATAGGTCTCGTCAAGACCTTTCCAACGAGTGGTCGGAAGAGGGGTCCAGGAGTCCGACTTCAGCAGTTGCGTACATCAGGAACTTGGAAAAAGTGGGTCAACCGACTGAACAAAATTATAGCAGTTTTTGATAGGTATTAAAAGTACGGGATTGCCGGGGAAAAATGTACGGGATTCCCTGTAAAAAAAGTACGGCGTTTCCTGTAAAAAAGTACGGTATTGCCTGTTAAAAAACGACGGCATTGCCCGTTAAAAAAAGTACGGTGAAGTCTGGAGTAATCAGTACAGGATTTACCGTGATCTTTTCTCGCAGTGTAACTGAATCAGATTTGACCAGAACTCTTTTCTATTGGTTAGTTTGAATTGGTTACTTTGAAATTTTTGGATTTTCTCTTAATCATTGAACAGTTGACCTGGCACGGTCCAATACATGGCTATTTCAAAATAGCCAAATGTGAAAAGGGAACACTTGTAATGCGATTGCATTGGAATTTTTTTTGTTTTAGATCACTGCATGAAATACTATTGTAATTGTTTAGGTCATCGAAGCAGTTTTTCTGGAAGTAAAAGTGGTAAATAATAAAAAAAAATTAGAAGCACTGTTACTGTTGGAAATAAGAGGACTTTGCACGCGGATGTAACCCCGGGGGGGTTTTGTAGTGTTCTAATTAGATGACCTCTGCCACTGTCAGAAAAAAAAATCCGTAAATTTACGGAGAAAGATACTCTAATTTTGGGAATGGAGGCTCCGTAAATTGTCCGTATTTATTCGGAGATTTTCCATATTTTTATGGAGATTTTCCATATTTTTACGGAGATGAACCGCATTTTTGCAGAAATAAACGCATTTTAACGGTTTACTTCCCTCCGTCCCCTTCGATGTTAATGCCAACAGTGCCTTTTTTGACGGGAAGTGATATTCTCCAAAACTGTTTTAAGATCCACTTGACCACATGCCATTAGGATCGAATAAATGGACGGAAACCCCAAAAGGGGAGGTCGCTTTAGGGAAGGCACTCTTTGGGAAAACGAACACCAAAACAGTTGGTCACCCAACCCAAGGATAACGTGAATTAGTCTGTTCTTTTTGATAAGTAAGGCTTCTATTTCATTTTTTTCATAACTTCCGTATTTAAGGAGAAAATCCAAATTCAAAAAAACGGAGATCTCCGTTTAAAAAAAAAGGGCCGTCTCCGTTAAATTTCCGATTTTGACGGAGTTTTCTGACAGTGTGCACAATCTGCTTAGATACACCTTTTGAGGTGTACCTTCATGCACTCATCACGTTTTCCTTGCTTGTGTGCAGAGTCTGAGAGCCCGCAAGTTACCGTGTGGCCTCTGCAGGCGTCCATTTTGCAAGTGGGAAAACGGCAAGGGGATAGCTTTTATCACTTGAATAAGCATTGATGATCTTGTAATGAAGTCTCAGTACTTGGCTCTTGTGGGGGTATTTTGTAGGGGCTCTTCGTGGTTCTGTGATATTTTTTTTAGGAAACCCTTTTGGCATCGTGAGTCGAAATTGCCTATGTAAAATTTTTGTATCGTATTGAAAAAAAAGCCGAACTGTGGAACTGCCCCACTTTAGCCTGGTACTGAGATTATTACTGCAATGTTTATGGTTTTTTTCTTCGCCTCATTTTTAATTGGCTGAGCGATAGCGAAGCCCGTTACTCCCGTGGGGTTGAAAAGTTTTTTCTGTCTGTCTGTCTGCGTGTGTGTGGTTTTGTATGCACTACTCCCCTGAACGGCTTGGCCGATCTGGCTGAGATTTTGCAGGGTCATTAGGTATGTCATTGGCTCGCCACACACTAAAATTTAGCTTTCTATCTCAATCCATTCGGTCATATTAGCCAAAAGCACTTAAAAAACGGAGAAAAAAAAACTTTTTAGGTACTTTCAACTTTTTTTCAAGTTTCATATCGTTTGATATGCTTTTGAGGCTGCTGATGACGAAAATAGAACCCGTTCGGACCACCGACTGAAAGTTGAATCCGATTGGTGTAGATTTTGATGACCCAAAAGCTTTTTTTTAGGGGATCACGCCCCTTTCCACGGTCTGCCTAGGAAAGCAGCCTGCCGAAGGGAGGTTAGCGCCGTAGGGCCCAAAGGGAGGTGTATACGCCAGGCGTGGATGGTCGAAACTGGGCAGCATCGCGAAGCCCGTTACGACAAGACACGGTCTGGCGTACACCTACCTTTTTCAGAAGTGTGACGAGCAGTTTTACCTGCCGCCTCCTAACGCCTCCAGAAGGGCATGGACTGGTGGCAGTATCATAGTATGGTGCTGGGGATAGTACGGCGCTCTTCTCGGGTCCGTCGGGGTTTTGGGTTTACTTGGCCGTGGTGGTGGCGGGACGGCAGGACAAGGGAGGGCCTGCGGTACGGTGGGCGGAGCGGCTGCCTCGGCGTGGCAACGGCAGAGGGCGTGGGCGAGGGGGCGGCCTCGGTGTTGGGTCGTATCAGGCTAATTGCCACAGATGCCCACATTGAGAAAATCAAAACAGAATTTCCCGGCTCTTGTTGGTTGTCCTGGCGGCAGCCCCCCCCCCCCTGGGAATGTTCCCAGTGGCGTAGGTGTGACAAAGTCAGGTGGGTTTATTATCAATATCAAAACCCAAGTATAGACTGACAATCCAACAGCAAAGTGAGGTTAACAGAGTTACTTAAGTTGTGTTGTTCCTACTCATGAGCAGTTCTCGCGAAATGGTTAATTTTGGGCCCTGAAATTTTTTGAAAAAAAGTTGAATTGAAACCGGGTTTTTGCATTTTTTTGTTAAGAAACACTAGGGATCATGGATTCATCGGGGCGAGCTATCACCCCCAAAAATATAGGAAATATCGCAATTTTTAAATTTTTTTTCCCTCCACGGAAATTACACAGCCTCAGAAACTGTCCACGGAAAATTTCATTTTAATGGGCCCTTAGAATAGGTGCGATACGAACGCAAACGCCTAGCAGTTTAGGCAGCTCCCTGCACATCTGTGCATTCTGGTTTCCCTGTTGCGTACCTCACAATAAAATTTCGGGCTAGACCACAATTTGATCGTATGCCGTTTCGGGCCCGACACATGCCCGCGTGCACTGCCAAAA